CATTGCATTCCAGATTCCCACAACCGTCTGGGTGAAAAATATTTTTGTCGCATCCCCTTTAAACCCTCTGCCCTTCTTGTTAAAATTATGCCCCTTCATTATTGGTCCTTCAGCTAAGGGGTACTGCTGCTTCCTTTCTACCCTGTCTATGCCCTTCATAATCTTATACACTCAATCAGTATCTTCCTGAACCCAAGACTACCTTCCTCACTATTAACCACCTGGCCAATTTATATATATCACTAACAGTAAGGGACTATTAGACCCGACACTGATCCCCGTGGCACAGCGCTGGACAGTGGTCTCCAGTCACAGAACAGCCTTCTACTACCTCCCTCTGTCTCCTACACTAAGCCAATTTTGGATCCATCTTGCTAGGTTACCTTGGATTGCAAGTGCTTTTACCTTCTTTATCAGTTTCCTATATGGGACTATGTCAAAGGCTTTGCTCCATATAAACCGTATCAACTGCAGGACACTCATCTATACATCTGGTCATCTCCTCTCAAAATTCTGTCAGATTTGGTAGGTATGCCTTTCCTCTGACAATGCTATGCTGACTATCCCTGATCAAACCTTGTCTCTCCAAGTGGAGATGAATTCTCTCCAGAGTTTTTTTCCATTAGTTTGCCTATCACTACCTCTGATTTGAGACTTATTGTGCGGTAGATGCCAAAACAAATGCTGCACTGGTTAACGTTGCGTTAAGGAGTGGCTACTTCTGATGTACAGCTCTTCAGAAAGTTGTAAAGGCCCATGACCTTTGTGTCCAGTGCACTTAGCCACAAGTTTCACCTACAGAGTCTACTAAATTGACTGGACAATGCTATCTGCAAAAATGAGACGTCATGAAGTGGCCTTATAACATCATTATGAACACTTTAACATGACGTTCTACATGGCCAATAAACATAATTACTGGCCGTAGGTGATCACTGGAAAATTTCCCGTGAACATTGTCAATCAGTATTGCTGCTAGATCCATGATCAAAATAATGGAAGAAGATCACAATTGGGTGCTGAACCATCAGATTACGAACATCTGACTTTTTAGCCTGAGGTTCAATGATGAAAAGCTAAACCAAAAATCATCTAGCAGTGTTTGCAATTTCACTAGCACTAAATGTTTCATAGCATGTGAAACAGGGGCCTCATTTTATTTGCAGAGTTATCAATCCTGCTGGTTCAAATAGTAATCTTTAAATCTGGGATTCTTAAAACAATGAGTACTTTAGTGCAAAATCTATCTTGTTCTTTGATTCCAGCTGTCCAATCAACCACAAAATAATTGTTAGATTTCTGTTAGTTCCCATGGATTTTCTTTTAATCTTAATTTTGTTGAGTGAGATGAAGGGGAAACAGTGGGATAGTGGTAATGTCACTGGACTAGAAAGGACCAGAGGCTCAAGCTGAAGTCCTAAGCACACAGGTTCAATCCCACCATAGCAGCTGGTGAAAATTACATTAAATTAATTAATACATTTACTTTTTAATTAATTTGTAGAATTGAATGATTATCTCTGTAATGGCGCCATCGAACTATCAGAACTGTTATAGAAACTCCTCTGATTCACGGATGTGTTTTAGGAAAAGAAATCTGCCACCTTTACTTAATTTGGTCTACATGTGAATCCAGCCCAACAGCAATGTGGTTGAACCTTAACTGTCCAAGCCACCCTGTTTGAGGGCAGTTAGAGGTGGGAAAGGAATAATGGCCTTGCCAATGATACCTAGATCCATTTAAAAATAAATTAAAGGACCCTGGGATAATGGCCAACTTCCTCCATTGGACGAACATGAGAATGTTTAGGCATGACCTGTGTTTTTTTCCTTTAAAGGGGAATGATTTCTGTTATCCTTACTTGCCTTTTCACCATGCTCATTGATGTCTACTCTTTCCCTAGTGCATCTTATGACCTCAAGTCTATTTGTGGCAGTTAGTGGCCTGCCCAGCTAGCCACAACTGTTGTTACTTCTTACTCAGAGACTCCCTTTATTCAACATTCACCTCACTATTTGAATCCTTTTGCAGCATCAACAATTTGCCTCAATCAACCTTCCTGTTTATTATGTTTAGAATTCAAATCCAATCATGGTGAAAATCTCTCTTCCAAATAAAGCAAGTCCAGTTCCCTGAATGTTTCCATGGAGCTTAGTTTCCTGCTACTCTGAATCATTTTGTTTCCTTCCAATGCTGATAGGCAGAGCTAGAAACACAGATTACAATTTGTAAGCAAGGCCAGTTCTTGAATAATGAAGTTCAAGGTTCTTAGACCGAATATAAACTGGCCTGTATTTATTCTTGGTTGATTCATGAATTCATATCCAACATAATGAATGGAAGATTGGATCTCTTGGTATACTGATGTAACCTTAGGCCTTGGTACATTCTAATTCAATTCAAGTTACCTAGGCAGCAATCATCTTAAGTGATCTTGGTCTAGAGAGTTTTCCTACTCCCAGACATTATCTGGTGATCTTTGCTGTAAATGCTTGGAGGTATCAAATTGAGAAGCAATTAGACTTGATGTCCTGCGACTATCTGTCTGTTCATTTGCATTGCCCGTATTAGGGGGGTACTGGAGGATTGCAAACAAACACAGAACTTTGCCCCAGCTAGCATTTGGCTTTCTCAGGAAGGAATGAAAATGTATCAGGATTTCCTCACAGATACTGCAGAAGTCTATTTTGTTTCTTAAAAGCTAATCTAACAAGGGCCAGCTAAATTTTGCATTTGGATTTAATTAATTTTGCAATTAATGATAAATTTTATTATTTTTCTGTCAATGAAAAGTACCCCATAAATAAGTAGTTACGCAGACTGTGTAATCTATAGCCATTGTCAGTGTTTTCCAAATTTGTTGTAGAAGTTTAATTGTGAACCTAAAGTCGTCTGAACATCAAGAGATTGGAGACTTGACTATCTTTTTAAAAATGCTATATTTGTAGTTTATGGTGAGATTCTTGTGAAGACTTTTACCTTCTGAATGAGGTTGACCACATTTTTAGTATTGAGTAATCAACCTATTTTGCGTTAAGTGGAAATCATATGAAGTCATTCTATCTCTCTCACCAGTGTCAGCTTTTAAAATTGTGCTTCGAGGTCAAATTTGCACATAAGTCAAAGATGTGTGGAGGAAAAGTGGTGTTGAGAAAGCAGGGAGGCTGTACAAGGACTCAGACAGGCTAGGAGAGTGAGCAAAGACTGGCAGATGGAATACAATGTGGGAAAGTTTGAGGTTATGCACTTTGGTAGGAAGAATAGAGGACGTAGACTATTTCTAAATAGGGAGAGGCTTTGGAAATCTGAAGCACAAAGGGACATGGAAATGCTAATTCAAGATTCTCCTAATGTTAACATGCAGGTTCAGTTGGTGGTTAGGAAGGTTATTGCAATGTTAGTGCTCAATTCATGGACTAGAATACAAGGGTTGAGACATACTGCTGGGGCTGTGTAAGGGTTGATCAGACCGCATTTGGAATATTGTGAGCAGTTTTGGACCCTATATTTAAGAAAGGATGTCCTGGCCTTGGAGAGGGTCCAGAAGTGGTTTACAAGAACGATTCTAAGGTTGAAAGCTTATCACATGAAGAGTAGTTGAGCTCTCTGAGTCTGTACTTACGGAGTTTAGAAAAATGAGGGGATCTGATTTGAAATTTACAGAATGCTGAGAGGCCTGGATAGAGTGGACATAGAGAAGATGTTTCCATTAATAGGAGAGACTAGAACCCAAGGACACTGCCTCAGAGTGAAGGGACACCCCTTTAGAGCTGAGATCAGGAGGAACTTCTCCAGCCAGAGGCGGTTAATCATTGTCACAGAGGGCTGTGGAGGCCAAGTCATTGAGTGTATTTAAGACAAAGCTATGTTCTTGATTGGTATGGGGATCAGTGGTTACAGAGAAAAGGGGTTGAGAAATATATCCACCATGATCGAATGGCAGAGCAGACTTGATGGCCGAATGGCCTAATTCTGCTCCTATATCTCATGGTCCTTGTTAAAATGAGAAGATTAGTTAAGGTCTGATTTGAAGGAAATAAAGAGTATGTTTAACCATTGACGTAGTATCTCAATAAATGAATCACTTGTAGTAACATACTGTTTTGAAGTATGTTCCTTCTGGTGCTGGTTGAATGCTCCTCATTAGAAGTGCTAACTCATTGTTTATAGCATAAGAAAACATCTCCTTTTGGACCTTTCACCTTCCTATTTCCTTACCCATTACCCAATTTTACATTTTTCTATTGTAAGTAGTTTTGCGCTGGGCGTGCAACAACTTAAAATATAAAGTATCTGGTGTCGTTGCATGATTCAAGAGTTTTGTATGCCGTGTGGGTCGGTGCGGCTTTCACTCCCTCTCATTTTAATAATAGCACATTGTGCCACGGAGGAATAAATGTGAAGTAACCTCACAAAAAAGTGTTCATAGTACCTTGTTTTTCTCCTGGTTAATCACCAACTGCTGAGTCGTGTTGGGGGTGGGGGTGCTGGGTCTAGTGGAGGAGGAAATGTAAAAGAACAAGGAGGAGGTACTATGAAAATTGCTAGTAGGTTTCTAACAGCAAAGGAATGACATGCTGTATTTCCTTATAAGGCCTGATATATTCGGAAGTGGCCACCCTTCCAGGAGCTGTCGAGGCGAGTCATAAATGGGGTGGGAGTGTAGTTTCTTTCTTAGCTGGCAATGACACAACACCGACTCACTTCCTTATTGATCAGTTCAAACCAGTTTTTACAGGAACTGACAGTGATATATGGGGCCAGCCTTGTGAGAATCATTCATTTGAGATACTGTGGCCTGCCAGTGCAGTACTTGTTCATTTTGCTGCTCCTTACCTTATTCACAATGAGTGGTGGCGCCAGATGCACAAGATTTAACTAACTGTAACTTTTTGTTTTAAATTTATACAGCACTTTCTTAGGTGAGTAAAATTAACTGTTTCTTTCTTTTTCTCCCTATTCCCAAATATATTTGTGGAATTGGAATTCATCCACATAGGGCAATTCCAAGCCTAGGCCCTTCACTTCAGAAACCCTTCAGAGAATACTTGGAGGCCCAGAAAGCCAAGCTTCACCATAAGACTGGCGATGCAGTAGAAGCGGTAAGAACACCATGAATGTAATTTGTTTGTCTTTTATGTTAAAATGTTTGTTTGTTGACCTGTATGTATCATTCTGTTCACTTGACTCTCTAGTGATTGAATGCTAAATATACTGTAACTGGGGAACTCTTCAGTTGTCGATACTTGGGATCTCAAATTGGCCAAAAGTCCCAGAGCCAGAAATTGAGGCCTATAGGAATTCAAAAACTAGAAAATATGGTTAGGCCACTTAGAAAATATTCCAAAAGTAGTGTTTTTCTGAAGTTAAGTCCATTTCTGTCGTCTCAGATAAGTGGTGATCAATAATAGGTCAGCACATTGAGTGACTGTTCCTTGTTGTGGTACTGAGCAATTTCCCATACCCACTATAAATGAGGTCTCATTCCACGGAAAGGCTGAAACGGTATGACCTTCATACAAGCTGTGCTGATGAAGATGATCTTAAATGATGTCACCACGTCGTATACTTGTGACTAACTCCAGACCTTGTAGTACTAATATGCATTAAAACCTCAAAGATTGTCTTTTCAGTAACTAGTTTAAAAGATTTTGAAAATATTAAATCTCAAAATAACTATTTTTGGACTGTTATAACTATGTAAGGGTGACTAATTTAGGTTTGAATTTATGACCCTGTGCCTAAAAAAAAATTAGTTAGAATGTGATATCTTTTTAATCCAGTGTTTGAATACAATATAATTTAAAAGCCATTGTACTAATTTTACTTTATTTTTAATTCTGTCCAAACATGTCTAGAAAGATATTTAAACTACAATTTCCACCCCTTCCCCTCTTCAATCCAAAAAAAACTTGGTACGTGGTGTACAATAGTGATGACGTGGATGTAACAGTCACCAAACTCAATACTTGTGCAACTTTTAAAAAACCGGTACTTCCTCCCAATGGAACAGCTATTTGTGACTTGCTGTCATAGAAACAAGATTTTCAACTCAGTTCACACGCTTTGTGAAAGCTGATGTTACAGTATTTTTGGATTTTGTTCTTTGACCCTTGATTGTTGGAGGGTCAAACTGGAAGGATCAGTTTTCACTTCTGCAGTTTCTTACTTAATAGTTTTAATCATTTTTTTGCACATTTAGAAATAATTTGCAGCTGTTTAGCCTTCAAATACTGGTGATTTGAATCTACTGATGACCCAGATGGAAAGAAACACTAAATGCTTGTTAAAATTCACGCATGTCCCTTGCTGAAATCATACATGATAAAAAAAACTTCAGCATCTACATTACCCTTCCTTCTTAAAAAAGAATATTTTCCAGAATCTGGCAAACTATTTCACAATGCACAAACACTTTATCATCTTTATTAAATCCCTATCAGACAAGTTTCCACTTGTATATTAACAAATGTACTTTGGTTTGGCTCAGAGCCATTGTTTCAACGCTGACATAGATGCAAAATATCTAAATCAGACTCTTAAAGCAGTAGCGTTTATTGAAGCTAGATAGTAATCCTGTTGCCAGATGAATATGGGAGGACTGGTTGCATGAGTGTCTGTGTTGGTCTAATTGAGCTGTTGAACGATTTTCTTTCTTTTTGATTCAGACTTTTCTGGCTTGCTGTGCTAATTTAAATCTCCAGATGGAGCAGCTCTGTAGGCATATTAGTGAGCACCTCAGCAATATCAACATAGACTAAATTGACCAGTGAGGAGAAATGTTACATACATGCCTGAAAGAGATGGTGGTGAACTAAATTCCCATCTGTTCCTTTCTGATAAGGATCCCCAACTGTATTGATACTTCTGTCAGATTTTAGCCCGCTATCTTTTAATAGCCTCATAATTCCTGATCCTTTAAGGCAATGAGAATCTGGCTTCCGATGGCTGCACTGGCTTCCAAAACCTCTTGTCTGTATGTCTAAAGACAAATAAACTTTCAATACTGACCAATAGGTCATCATTGGTTGGCCACTTCACAAATACATCCAAAGCATTAAATATCTTTGACCGAACTTCTGGGGACTACAAAACAATAAATGCTTTGTTACAGTCCTGAAAATGAAAATATATTGTACAAGGCAACTAAATAAAATTTTGAAGAGAAATTAGAAGTTTATCACTAAAGATTGATATAATTATATGCCATTGATGGCAGTAATTAATTTTCAGTTTCTGCCTGTATTCTTGAGTTTGATTTGTCCAAGAGCCCGCAAGATTTGTAGCTAATATTTTAACAACCCGAGGTACTGTTCATTTTTAATCTGTGGCAAACAATCGGTCTCTTGATTAAAATATTGAATGAAATTATTGGAATTTGAAATATTGTATTTGGATATGGCTATGTGATTCGAAAGTGTGCAGAGGATTTTACTTTTCATGCCACTTGCTATGTTACGTTTATAAAGTTCGGGTTTTGCCATTTAATTTGAAAAGAAATATATTTCCCCTGCTTTATTTCTCCTAAATGGATGTTTGGTCTGTGCAAGGATCTTCAATTCTCTCTCGCCCACCCTGCTCCAAACGATTCTGTGTCAGACAACAACAAATCAACGTGTGGAGCTTGACACACTTGCGTATTCTTCAATTCTTTAATTTTCAAAGAAAAAGTCTTTGGGCTGTTACTAATCCTGCATATTGATCTGATTAAGATGGTAACAGTCTGCAATTGATTCCAGATTAAACAATTCTTAATAAATACTTTTTTTATGTTTTTCTCTTTCCTTCCCAACCTTCATCCTAACTCCATTAGAGTGAAAATTGGCTGTCCTGGACCTTTGAAAAAGTAGTCATCGTCATGGTGTGCTACTTCATTCTTTCCATCGTTAACTCCATGGCTCAGAGCTACGCTAAACGGATCCAGTCACAGAAATACACTGAAGAGAAAATGAAATGAAAAATTAACCTTTTTATTTTAAAAAAAGTGACTGAACAAGGCCCAGGGTAGATAATAATTCATAAAAACCATCTGTTGCTTCTTTGTTCCTCAAACTGGAATTAATTTTAAGGAAGCAAAATGGATCGGGGTTGGGGGGGAACTATTATAAATCTCTACATTTACAGGCTCTGAAAAAAACATTTCCTTGATTAGCACAGGTACTAGAGTTTGGAGTCCACATTCATGGATTCTTACCTATTTGTTGTTGTCTCCAGTTTTTTTTTTTAAAAAAAGTTTGAAAGTATCTTCATTTCAGTTGACGTCACAGGAAATTGCAGGATGTATGTAAATATTAAGTATCGAACCCCATTGAAATATCATTCACTTGCTCCAAATTAACTTGGGCACAGTGCTGAATAGGCCCTCAGTATGATCTGTGGAAGTAAAATTGCATTAGCTCCTTGAACTCTGTCAATTAGAGGAGCAAATTTGTTCAGTGCCTATTTTTGAATTGGAATCTTCTGACAAGCAAAGCAAACAATATTGTCAGCTCAAAAACATAATGGTGGCAATGTTTTAATGACCTTTAATCTAACAAGGACTTCTTGATAATAAGTTAAATTCTTTTCAGAGATTACTAAATTTAGAATAGCTAAATCGTGACATTTTAATATTTTTCTTCCTTTTATTGCATCTTACTTCCATTACCCCTCTTTCTACTGCACCTCACTAAATAGATACATCTTTGCTGTGGAGATTTCATAGTGCAGGTTCTTCAGCAACTGTACAAACTATGATTTGTTGCCACAAGCTTTATACATTGAGGGTCCCATCAGTATTCCAATTTCCAATGTTTAAGTGAGGTGCTAAAGACCCGGCCATCGTTTTAAGGCTTATCAAATTGGCCGAGAAGAGAAAGCATTAGTATTGATGGCTATTATTTTGTTCCCCTCACACATGTTGATGGAGGATAGATTTGGAGAGACCGACAGTATATGTAGACTATGTCAAAAAGGTAAATAGATTTTTGATTTCTAGTATTTATTACCTCAACCTCTGTATTATCTTGTCTATCTCTTAATGGGGTTGTATATTGTCTTGTGCCCTATATAGCACAAAACATTTAAACTGATATTGCTCATCTCTGCTCATATTTTCCATAATGATGGTGAAAGAAAAGCTATTAGAAGCTATCCATCTTTAACCGTATGTACAAAAAGCAACATCAGTTTTTGTTCTGTAAATTTTAACATGATAAATTTAATCTGACTTTATAAAACTACATTCAGTCATTCTACAGACTGAACCTTAGTCTACGTCTGTCAGTTTTTGTGGGGAATGTCATAATTGTGTATATATATATCCAAAATTTCATCTGCCCATTATGTATAAACTCAAATGATGCTGATCCTACATAGTAATTTGTATACTACCATTCGTAAAGTAATATGTTTTGTGTTTACATAGGTACAATTATCAGAAATGAATTAAGGAAACAAATTTGTCTTTGTTTTAGGCTGTAGAGTATTTCTTAAATTATTCACATGCAAAACACATTGCATGAAAGAGACAATTCAGAAGCTTCCTCCAGGAGCTGTTTGAACTAAAACTCAGAATCTATGTTAATTACTGCATTTTCTAACGAGAATAAAATTGGAACTGAAGTATTATCTCTCTAGGATTTCCATCAAATTTTGTGAACTTATAATATTATGGTTTTGTGTTCCAAGATACTGTTTTGTTCAGTGCACTAGGTGATCCCAAATTGGAATTTTGGTTGCAACTGTTCTCCAAGTGGGCTTCATCTGGTGCAACAGTGGGCCAGTAATGTCAAGTCAAGGAAGTAGTACATCTAAAACAATTTCTATTTCTAGTAACACAACAATATTTTACAGGTAGTTTGCCTCCAGAGGCATTTTGACCAGTTCTATGAGCATGCTATCTTATTAAACATTTTCATTAATGTTTGGAGAATTGATCTATTAAGGGAAATAATGAGTGTCTTTGTGAAGTTACTCATGACATCACCATACCTCATTATTATCGCATGAGGAAATGTAAATGACCCTGGTAGATAGTCATTATTACTTCCTATAATGTAAACTAGAGCATTATTTTATAATATTTATAAAGTAGATGATGTGAATTCATGGAAAGCAGATGTTGTATTGTGTGAAATTTAAAAACTTTAAACTAGGAATTCAGTCCTAATTCTGTTGTACAATGTGTTTCATCTTTTTCATACTTTTTTTTTTAAGGGGTGTGTGTGTGTGTGTGTACCTTCTTGACCATGTTAATCCTCTCTTCGGGGATGAGGCTGGATTAATGATCATTGTTGGCTGATCTCAAAGCAACAATGTGGTGTACCCAGTGGAATCCACCAATACTATGCAATGCTACAGTATGACCAACAATCAAGTAAACCTATCCTTGAAGATTTGATAGTTTGAATTTCTGCTAAATCTGGGATTTAAATCTGTAATCATCTGGCACAGCAAACTGGTGCTCTTTTAATGTACGTTTGTTCAACTCAGAAAATACATTAGACATTTAACACAAGTTCCATTATTCCAGCTATTTGGACTTCTATCTTCCATACTGAATATCAAAATTTAATGCTCAGAAGATATTCATACTAACTTAAATGAATAAAATTTCTGTATACCCTCATTGTTTCAGTTCCACTCTTTGGTACCCGTTGTAGGTTTTGTCACATTCAGCTTCTTCATTTACCATTCTGTGAGATAGCTTATCAGACTGGTGTTGGCTGTTAGCTCAGTTGGCGACAACAGTTGGTAGGCTATCTGACGATGTGGTGTCTTCCATCTGATCAACGTTGTGTTTTGCTTTGTTCTGCCATTGCACCCTCATTGCAGCTCTCATTGTTTTATCGTTTGTGAGTAGTCTATTATGAGCACCATCCTCTTTACCACTTTCAGGGCAAGGATCCCAATTAGACTCCAGAATTGTGATCTTCCAAAAATTATCAAATTACTCTTTTTTAATTCTTACATTCAATATTCACCAATTATTGCTGTGCAGTAGTTCTTGTATTGTTTCCTGGTAAGTACAATAGCCTCCTCTTGTATTGGGCTTCCCTGAGGTTCAATAATTTTGCTAAAAATACACTAGTAACAGATTCTACCCCATGATGTTCTTTCTGATTTCCATCATCTGAATTAGCCATGTTATGCTGTGCAGAACATCTAATAAAACCTATAGCCGAGCCAATACTAGGAAGAGTCTGTTATCCTTTGTACAACTGTTTTTCATTCTTCATGGAAATCTATTTATTCTAAACTTGAATCTTTGATGTTAGGAAAAAAAGAAGAAATACCTTGGTATACATGATCTTTCCATTTTTGCTACTTACTGTCATTTGGCACTTTTACACTTGACTTTGTCTCCAAAAGTAGTTACAGGAAATGTCTGTATGATTCACTTCATAGGGAAAAAAACACATGTTCCTGCTTTATATTTATGTCCTTTTTTGTGTGGCATTGGAATAAAAATGGGTAACGCATATTCGGTTGCCTATTCAGCCATTCAAAGAACAAAACAGAAGAGACAGCACAGGAACAGACCCTTCAGCCCTCTAAGCCTGTGCTGATTATCATGCCCTAAATAATCTAAAAAACAAACCTTCTGCCCTTATTTGGTACGTATCCCTCTATTCCCTCCCCATTCATGTAACCATCCAGGTGCCTCTTAAATGTCTCCAATATGCCTGATTCCTCCACCTCTTCCAGCAGTGCATTTAAAGCTCCTACCACTCTCTGTGGAAAAACTTTCCTTGTACAACTCCCTTAAACTTTCCCCCTCTCACCTTGAACCTGTGCCTCCTTGTAATTGAAACTTCCTGGGAAAAAGCTTCTGAACGTCCGCCCTATCTCTGCCTCTCATAATTTTGTAGATCTCTATTAGGTCTCCTCTCAGCTGCCATCTTTCCAGTGAAAACAATCCTACTCTTTTTAGACTTTCCTCATAGCCAATGCCCTTGAGACCAGGGAACATCTTGGTGAACCTTCTCTGTATTCTTTCCAAAGGTTCCACATCCTTCTGGTGTGATGACCAAAACCGCATACTATACTGCAAATGCGGCCTAACAAGGGTTTTATATAGCTGCAACATGGTTTGCTAACTCTTTTAGTCCATGCTCTGGCAGTTAATTCAAATAATTTGTTCCCCAACTTTAAATTTAAGATTATGTCCCATAGTTTTGGATCTCCCACCAGAGGAAGAAGGAAGGATTATCTGAGGAGATGAGGTTGACTTGATTGGATCTATACTCATTGATGAAGAATGAGAGCTGACATTATTAGATGCATAAGATTCAAGGGGTGCTGGACAAGGCAGATGCAAAGAGGTTGTTGCCGCTTGTGGGGCAATCTATGACTAGAAGGCAAAATCTAACTAAGGATCACCCATTTAAGACAGATGAAGAGGAATTTCTTCTGTGAGGATGGTGAATCTATGGAATTCTTTATTGCAAAGAGCTGTCATGGCTGGGTCATTAAGAAAATTCAGGGTAGAGATAGATGGATTTTTAATCAGTAAGGGAATCGAGAGGTATGGGGAAAAGGCAGGAAAGTGGAGTTGAGGGCTATCAGATCAGCCATGATCTTGTCAAATGGAGGAGCAGACTTAATGGGCTGAATGGCTTACTTCTGCTCTTACAGCTTATGGTCTTGTAGATAGAGCAGAGCTATTTATCTTATTTAATAATTTCAACACTTAAATTACTCTTCAACCTTTACACTGCAGCATTTCCCACCCAGAATCATGGGTTGATGCTGCTTCTTGCTAAAGAATATTCAGCTTTTAACCTAATTTGATTTTGTAGATGGTCTTTCAGCTGCAAATAACACCGTGTTGTATGTGGCTGTACTCTCGTCGTCCTTGTTCATTGCAGCATGGAACAGGCCTGAATAGTTAAAGCACATCATCCGCACTATGAAGGAAAGCATTGACAGTCATGAAGATGTCAGTGGTCATGGTGTTTTATGTGAGGGACAAACTTGGAAACAGTAATTAAAATCAACTTGATATGGCCACAATCAAATATTTTCAATCAAAGCGCACACCAAGCTCTTCAATCTCCTCCATATCATCCACTATTTGTCTTTGTTCTTAGTTATATTAATGTCAATCCCTTTGACCATATTTGTTACTTATTTTCTGATTGAGAATAAAGCTTATCTCCAAAAAATAAAGCACCAGGCCTACAAGATATATCGTTTGAAATACACAGCACTCTCAGAAAAATACATGTAATGTGTGTTGCTTGGAAAATTCTTTCTATAATATTTGAATAAATGGAGAGTTTGAGACATCGGTAGCTCACAAAAGAAGAATTTATATAGTGTCTTTCGACATAATAAAATATCCCAACTTGCTTCTATGGAATATTATAAAATAATATAACACTGAACCATGCAAGGAGATGGACTGAGATGACCAAAATTTCAAACTGGAGGGGTTTAATTAGTGTGTTAAAGGAGAAAAGTGATAGAGAGATGGAGGACTGTAAGGAGGATATTCCAGACCTTGGAACTTTGAAGTCACAGCCACCAAATGAAGTGTTTTAATATTGGGAATGTGCAGGTGGGTTATAACTTCAGTCTGGATTTTCCAATATAACTAATATTTTCTTAATTTAATTTTCTTGTCTGCTCAACTCTCAAGCATTGGCCTTCAAAGTGATGCAGTAGTGTATCATTTGTAAAAGACTGGTTAAGCAGATTTAAGATTTGCTAATGTCTTCCTTTAAAGTTAAGAGAAACTGGCGGTGGCTGTTTTTTGAGCATAAATAGGACAAGGTAGTGCCCCTAACTCTGAGCCAGGTGGCCTGGAGTTCAAGTCCTGATCCAGAGGTGTATCATAACTCTGAACACATTGATTAGAAAATATTCAGACCAGCAGGGTGTAGCTGTGATACTGGGCATGGGATAAGACGGATAAAATTGAGGAAGTCAATAAACTCTGCAAAAGGAAAGTTGTTGGCAACTTGGTTTCAATCTCATCAACTGGCTTGGATTCAACAACATTGTGGCCTATCCATTGCTGTGGCTTCTTGGACATTCTTAGGGATGCTACACGATTTAAGGATGTCTTTGTGCTGCTACTCAATTCACTGTAAAATGCTTGTTTCAAGAGTATATGGTAGGTTTTTCGGCAATGTGGTTGAAAAAGTCTGAATTTGAAATTCTCCATTAATCATGTCAACCAATAAATTTATCCTCATGAAAATGAGAACTTTTGTAGACATAATGCCTTTGGTGTTCTGTTATCCGTTACGGGACATTGGTAAGACTACTTTTAGAATACTGCATTCAATTCTGGTCTCCCTGCTATAGGAAGAATGTTGTTAAACTTGAAAGGGTTCAGAGAAATTTGGAAGGAATTGGAGAGTTTGAGCTGTAGGGAGAGGCTGAATAGGCTAGGGCTATTTTCCCTAGAGCGTCGGAGGATGAGGGTTGACCTTTAAAGTGGTTTATAAAACCAAGAGCATGGATACGGTGAATAGCCAAAGTCTTTTTCCCAGGGTAGGGGAGTCCAAAACTAGAGGACATAGGTTTAAGGTGAGAGGGGAAAGGTTTACAAGTGACTTGTGGAGCAACTTGTTCATGCAGAAGGTGGTGCATGTATGGAATGAGCTGCCAGAGGAAGTGGTGGAGTTGGGTACAAATAGAATGTTTAAAAGGAATGTTTTTAATTATTTAAATATCTTCTGTTCAGCATTTTTAAGTGTGTTTCTGTGACTGAATCATTTCGGATTGAAACTGTGCTGTTTCCACATGTACTAGCCTAGACTATGGGTAGAATAGATTTAGCGTTTTGAATAGATTTAGCGTTTTGAATAAACCTGAATGTCTCAGCATATTGGCCTGATCTTTGTCCCAGTACGTATTATGATTACAGGCCCAAGAACTTCTCACTCTATCTCCACCCCCACACAATCATTTGTATAAGTTAATATTGGACCCTTAAATGCTGTCATCTTTTGAAATTGGTGTATGCTGACTGAATATATTTCTCTCTTTTGCCTGTGAAATATATTTAGAAACTTAAATGCTGAGAAGTTTATCCAGATCTTGTCCTTCTGTCCAGGATTTACCAATTTATGAATCTGTCCTTGGTCATTATTGGACAGCATGCAACATCCATTATATCACTATTTGCCCACCTCCCAAGTAAGCCAGCAGCTATAATTGAACTTGCATATATGATAGTCAAACTTGACTAAATGTGAAATCCTGATTGTATTTCCCAGCATTAAGATACTCCAAACTATACTTGTTCTACGCTCTGTCTTATAGCGAATGTGGAGAGAAAATTTTAATTTTTTTTACTGATGGTACAAATGGATAAAGGTCCAGTACTTCATTCAGACACAGAAATCCCATCTCGCTGCAGGGAATCACTTCCAGTGTTTAGAAATGTAACTTGATGCAAAGGCTGGAGGACCATTAAGAACTTATCCTTGGAAATGAAGAAGCTAATCATTCTTCCTTTAGCAATCACTGAATGTTGTGCAATCATTCGTGAACATATCCACTACTGATATTTGGATGTTGTGAAGATCATTGAAATAATGAAAGATGGTGGGTCCTAGGACATTCCAAAGGACTAATATTAGATAATGTTAGACTTAATTAATAGTATTTGCC